GTGCTTCCAGACTTGGTTTATCCTTCTGGACAGCAAAGACAATTCATCTTCTTCAGAGGAAGATTCTTCAGAGCTTTCTTCAATAACCTGCAAAGCTTTAGCAAATTTGTTAGATTTTAGCGCAACAGACTTACCTTTCTTCTGGGGTTCGTCTTCTTCCAGCTCAATCTCGTGACTCCATAAGGAACTGATTAGTTCCTCCAGAGTGATCTTATTCAGATCCTTTGCAAGCTTCAGTGCTGTCACCATTGGTCTTCACCTTGTTGGCAAGCTTCTGATTATCTTCATGACGTGATCAGCAGTAGAGTAACCTTTGTCCAGAACCTTCAGACTATCAGTTAGAATCTGAAACCTTGAGAACATAACTTCTACAGATTCAGATTCCTCCATCTTGAAGGCCTCGTATTTCTGAATGAGCGCTAAGGCTTTTGTCTCATTTACTTGGGAGTTTCCTTCATGCGTCATTTTTAAAGATTCAAACATATCAAATGCAGTATCTATATTTGTTATTTTCTCATACTCAGTATGAGATATTGCATTTAATAGAATGGTTATCGCCTTGTGATGGTTTCTAAACTCCTTCTTCTGTTGATCAGACATAGACTTTTTGTCAACCTTTTTGCCTTCATCATTTGTAGGATGAATATAACCATCAGTAACCAAATCCCATAAGTCAGCGTCATAGCCTAGAAAGAAACTTTATATTCTATCTTTCCAGTAATCAAACTGCTCACCATCAAACATGGGAGGTTTGGTGTTGATTCTGTCTCTATCATCGTATTTGTTGTTGTATGAAGTTGAAGTTGAAGCTTCAACAGCCATGATGAATCAAGAACAATAGATTAAGAGTTTTTTCCAACAGGATCTTTTTCTGTCACGGTTAAGTGAGAGCACTTACAGAACCGGAGCTCTGATGCCAACTGAAGGTAGGAAAAACACTTAGAAGGGGGGGGGGGGTTGAATAAGGGTTTTAAAACAATTAATATGATATAAAAAATAACACAGTATTTTTATCCTGGTTCGTTTGAACTCAAACTAATCCAGTCCACCCTGCCAAGGTAATTTGCCTTTCTCAACAAGGACTTAATCCACTAAATCAAACTGATTACAGTGTAAACCACTAAGACAACTGTCTTAGTCTTCTCAAGAAATCTGACCAAACTTGGTCTCTTAAGGAATCTTTTACAAAGATAAACTAACAATGTGTTTAAGATGTGCTTCTAAAAAGCTATATCACAACAGTGATTTTTACACAAGTTTTTAAAACGAAATAAAACTATTCAGCTTTTGAAGAAAGTTTGTATGAGAGCTTGTTGAATAATTTGTCAAGAATTTGTTTCAAGTTCGTTAACCTTTGAAGTGATGCTTAAACTTGCTTTTATAGTACTTTGAAATTTATTTCTCAAAGACTGTGCAATCTGTGCATTATGTTCTTTTTGTCTTCTATTGACTTTTCCTTTCTCATAAGAGGTATGTTCTGACAAATCCTTTTTGTCTGAAATCCTGTGTCATGCACGAATGGGAAAAGAGCCATTTAGAAAAGGACAAGGAATATGCCAACGGATCTTTATTTGAACATCATCTTCTTCAACAACTTTGGAACGTCTTGCATCAGAACTTCTGATGATGTTCCTAGTTCTTCAGATCAGAGTTAACTCAATCAGAGTTTCTCTATTAGAGTTTGCAGCAAAGTGCTTTAAGCGTGAAATTCTTTTCCAGAGCATACTTGCTTATCAAAGCTTTTGTACTTGCAACGTTTAAGTACTTCCAGAGTCTTCTGAAGCTTCACGTATGTTCTTAGTCAAGTTCTTCTTAGCTTCGCTCAGAGTCATTTGTAGAAGATCAGAGTCTTCTAATGAGTTGCTTCTGACGCTCAGAGCTTTTTCGTTCTATGGTGTTCAAAGGCGTTCTTGCTTCCAGAATAATATTAATTTTGATATCTGAAACAAATAAACACTTGAACAAAATTAGAGTATATAAATTCTCTATACAAAATTTCATTAATGTTATCATCAAAACAATGAGATATATTAAACACCAATTTATGTTCTAACAGATCGGCCATACTGATTGGTAATTTGAGAAGTTGCTTTGGTCTTTAAGTTTCAGTGAAAGAAAAGACGGGGGAACAAAGATTTCCCTTAGACGATACCCGAGATCAGAAGAATATCAGTGGCCAGTAACACATCGTGAGCTCCAAGTTCAACGGTGGTGGAGAAGAGGAGGGGGTGTATCTGCAAGACACTTCGATGCTAAAGTAAGGTTTAGAGTGAGAGAGAAAACAAGTACATAGTGAGTATGAATTATAATACTTGACCCTCTTGTGGAGGAGGATATTTATAATGTGCCTCCAGCGTTGAGCCAACAGTTATCTATAGTGGCCTGGATCACCAGGCCCATTACAAATAACTGCCAAGATCCTATGTGGGAGTAGGGAAGACCAACACGTGGTCTTCGTCCTGGGTCAACTGCCCCGCGAAAGGCGCAGGTTCAGTTGGTGATGTGTTCTCGCGTGGGGAGCACGTGGAGAACATGGGGAGAATGTGTGAGGGACGCTTCCTTCAGCGGGATGGTGGATTGGGCCTTTGTGTTAGTCCCTCTTCGACGTGGAGCTAGGTTAGGTCGTGCCCTGACCCAGTCCAGAACAGTTCTTAACTTAATAAAATAAATATTTCAAAAGTCCATTATAAGTTTAATACAACAATATCAATAATACATAACATAACATAGTTTTACACTTCATTTCAACTATTATTTAATAATATTTTGACCAAACTAAAGAATTACAATAAAATAAATTAAACTAATTCAAATAAAAATTTAAATAATAGAATATAATAACTAAAATGAAGTTCAAATGATTAAGAATACCTAAATTAAATAAGATAGAATACCAAAATATAAATAATACAACATACTTCGTTAAACAACAAAAAAATCGAATTTGAATTGAACTACGACAAACAAGTCTTAGTTGACAACAACAAACAATATTGACTTGAACGACAATCAATAGAGTTGAACATCGTGACTATGTTTGGAAGAGACAACATGATGATGGTGGAGTGTGCTTGAAAGAAAAATTATAATAAAGTGACAAAACATAGAAGTTTGTATGGTTGTAAGAAACACACATAATTCATTTTTGTGATTGAGAAATGTATGTTTAATTTTGATATTAACATATTAAAAATTAAAAAAAAATTAAAAAAAATGGTCACTTTGATGATTTTTTTTTGAACTGGACGGTTTTACAAAACCGACTCCGGTTTTTTTGGTTCGAATGATTTTGAACGGTTTAATCTAATTTTTTTAGTTTAACTTTGGTTTTGATCTACTAGCAGTTTTGAAAGATTAACCCAACCGAATTCATCTCCGACTTCATCTCCGACTTCTGATCCAATCGGTTGAATCGTCCGGTTCGATCTGATTTTTAAAACATTGATATTAACACTAACATCTAATTAAAAATATTAAAAAACTGAAAATTTATATTACTAAAGAATATAAATGAAAATAATTAGCTTTGTATCAAAAATAAAACAAAATTGTGTTAGCATACTGCAGACTCATCAAACTACTTTGGACCAAAAATAAAATAAAATTGATTACTACTAAGAAATAATTTATCTACCAAATAAAACTAGGCATGACAACGAGCGAGTTGGAAACGATTTTTATCTCTCTCAAACTCAAACTCAAATTTTCAAACAATACTCGTTTCTCGCCCCAAAGTTAAACGGAAATAGAGAATTAAAACTCAAACCCGTTTCAAACGGATTCGGGTATCCCCGTTCTGCCACCTTCCATTCAGTAAATCATTTTTTTAAATAAAAATATTTATTTTTTTCTCTCTCAAACTAGGCATGACAATGAGCGAGTTGGGAACGATTTTTATCTCTCTCAAACTCAAACTCAAATTTTCAAACAATACTCGTTTCTCGCCCCAAAGTTAAACGGAAATAGAGAATTAAAACTCAAACCCGTTTCAAACGGATTCGCGTATCCCCGCTCTGCCACCTTCCATTCAGTAAATCATTTTTTTTAATAAAAATATTTATTTTTTTCAAAATCAAATTACATTATAAACAATAATATATAACAATCTAAAAATATCTCATACATACATTTCAAATATTTTAAATAATAAATATAAATCAAAAATTAAAATATTAGCCACATATATAATATTCTAAATTATAAATAAATAAATAAAAATAATAATAAAATAAACGGGACGAGTTCATAATAGATATTAGTGTCTCCATTACCTAATGTGCTCTCATATTTTTTATAGTCGGAGAAATCGTAAACTGGAATTTAAACCGAGTCAAAATAAATTTTCTCCGTCAACTTCGAAACGAATTCGAATGAATAGATTTGAGTATGAGATATATTGTCATGCCTAAATAAAACTAATAATAACATATATTTATTATAACAAAATAAAAATAAAAATAAAAGAATACAAATTTTAAGGAATAGGTCCGTAACTTTGTAGGTGGAGCGAGAGATTTGTTCTGGTTTGGGTCTTCGGGTCAAAAGAACGGAAGCACGCAACGCAACTCATCCTCCCACAATTTTCCAAAAGTCGGTGGCGTGATTCCAAACCCTAATCGCCACTGTCTAGATTCAGTTATAGGTTTGTTTCTTCCAATTTCAGCTCAATTCTTCCTAATCTCATCGGTTAATTCTATAATTGATTTCACTCCCAATTTTGTTAACTCGATTGATTTTCGTTTTGATTTGATCAGAATCATTGCTCTTGCGGCGTCAACTAGTCGCCATCGCAACCGGAGTCAGGCGTCGGCCAACGCCAGACACCGAGAAGGCAAACGCCCTGGTTAATTGCATCGTACCAAATCTCTACTCAGCGGCGCCATTGTCAGCATAGGTACTTTTACTTTATTTTTTTTCTTCAGAATCTGGATTTCGAATTTACTGCGATTTTTTTTAATTATTACTTTTTTAATTTTATATTTTTTTCTTCCATTTATTAGATGAAGATTAAGAAACAAAGTAGGCACAGGAAGACATTGACGTTTTTCACTGCTTGTTTTGGTTTCCATAAGCCTTACAAAGTTCTCTGTGATGGAACATTCGTGCATCACCTTATTGGGAATCGTATAACCCCTGCTGATACGGCTCTTGCAAATATTCTTAGTTCTACGGTCAAGCTCTACACAACAAGGTCTTTGTTTTGATTTTTTTGGGTCTTTTTGTTTTTTGTATCTTAATTTTTTGTGTTGTTAATTTGGGTTTTTGATTGAGGTAATGCAGATGTGTTCTAGCTGAGTTGAAACGGCTTGGTAAATCGTATTCGGAGGCTCTTGAGGCAGCTCATAATCTTATAATTGCAAGGTTAAACAATTTTCTGTCTTTTTAAATACACAATGCATCTTGTTGTAGCACATATGCTTTTAAATTTATTACTTTACAAACTTTTCTTTGGTTGTTATGATAGATTTGCATGATGATTGATACCGTATTCAGTAGGCTGAAACCCTTCAAATGTGAATGTATACAAATTTTCTTTAATACACGTGTCAAGTGGGTTTGGCTCCGTACGTATCGGTTAGCGTGTTTGGGCCTTGTGGTTTTGGAAGGCTAGGTAACAGGTTAGGTTAGTGTTGTTAATTGGTAGGCACTTGCCAAGGAGGAATGACATGGCAGAGTTTTTGACAACCGCCCTAGAAATTTGTGAAGGGATGTGTCCCATGGCAGTATCATACGCTGTAATGGCTTCTTGATATGATGGATTTTTGGCCTGCCCCCATATTCCACCATTGGCAACACTGGGTTAGGTTGGTTGATAAGTCAAAAAATTGGAGAAAATAGACCCTATGAATTCAGTCCAAAAATTATTTGTTAGACACAAAAACACCTCCGTTTACCTCAACTAAGAATCAGATTTGAAAGAATCTAACTAAGTTTAAATCCTTTAGGTTTTTCATTTATTGTTGCTGCTAGCATCTGAAGTTCTTTTTCTATTTTTCTTCTTCCCCTACTGTTGTTATGTGGTAAGAAATCTTCCTTTAGGTCCTAGCCAAATTGATTAATCAACTAGTCCAACTAGTCAAGAAGTTATTGTGGATCACCCAAATTGCTCGCACTGTCTAAAGGCAAAAGAGAAATAAACTCCTCATTCAATGCCTTATCACTTTGGCATATTACTTTCAACTTTTCAAAACCTGGACTAGGCAGGATTCTCTTGAGTCAATATTTAAAAGGTTTTTGTGGGGTGGGGGAGTGGAGAATAGAAAAGTAAACTGGGTACAATGGAATATGATTTGTAGGGAGAGGGAGGAGGGAGGTCTAGGTTTAAAAAATTTAAGAACTTTTAACATTGCATTGCTAAGTGGATCTGGCTATTCCATACCGAAAAACGGTGTCTTTGGGCTAGGGTTTTAGCAAGTAAATATGTTGATTTAATCAACAGAGTGGCTGAGATAACGGGGTTGGGGATTGTTATTGCATTGGCTTTCTGAAAGGATGTGCAGGAAAATAGGTAATGGAGCTGCAGCGCGGTTCTGGAGTGATCCTTGGTTGGAGAGGGACAGGTTTTGAAGAACATTTTTCCGGAGATGTTCAAGCTGGCTGTGCACAAAGAGGCGGTGGTATGTGAAGTGGTGCAGAGAAATTCAGAAGGGGTTGCTTGACAAGGATATGAATTCAGGGAGGTTGCTTGACAGTATCAAAACAATGTCGTGGTCTTGGTTAAAGAGTAATTTAACCGAGTTTAGTTATTGGCTGGAACTTTGGCTAATAAATCCGCAGGATTGTATGCTCTGATTACGTGCGACGGTCTCTTGTTTTATCTATTTCTTTGGGAGGTGTTGACTAGCAGGTTTTTTAGCTGTCAGGGTGATCGTATGGATGCGGTTCAGGGACTGTAGGTATTTGTCTCGTCTCCCTGGCTCAGAGAAATGCTAGTTTCTGTCGTATATGTTGGTGGCAAAGTGCTTTGGAGCTGCTGTGATCATTGGAGAGAATTGGCCTTCATATCATTAGTTTTGGCTCGGGTCAATACGGAAGGTTTTGAGGATTGTGCTTTAAATTCAAAATCATCTGTTCGGTTAGTTTTATTTTTGCTAGGGGCGCCAAGTGCAGAAATTTGTTTGAGGGGGCAGTTGGAGGTCTGCTTATCAGTTTTTTGGAGGTTCGTGTTGCAAATGTCGTGGCTGTGCGGTCAGTGGCGTTTTCATGATGCCAGGTTCAGTAGCAGGCGGTAGAGGTGTTCTATTGAAATCGGCCTTTTCGCAATTCCGAAGAGCTTGTGCACATAGCGCATTTGGCAGCGGTAGATGTTTATTTGTTTTGGCATCTATAGGGTGTTTGATGGAGAGGCTGGTGTGTTCATGTGCGTTGGGTGCTGCAGCTATGTCTAATTTTGCTGTTGCAGTGTTTCCTAGCAGGAGAGTTGTGAGCCTTTAGTGTGGGTGATATTGGAGTGGCTCGGATTTTCCTGTTACCTGTTATCTGTTAGTTGGTGAGCATTAATGCACTTAATTGTGATCTAGGCTGTTTAGTCATTGTCAGCTTTGAAGTCTTTTTGGATATCTCCTATTTCTGGCTTGGTTTCGGCGATGTGGTCGTGGTGTTTGGATATCTCGTATTCCCGGCTTGGTTTCGGCGATGTGGTCGGGGTGTTAGTTGTTTTACGGCAGCTGCCTGTTTGGGGTATTTGGAGCATTTTGCATTTTGAATCATTTGTATTTGAGCTGGTGTTTCAGCAGTTGGTTTTTTTGTTTTTTGAGCAGGTGTAGTTAGTTTTGGCTTTAATTTTTCTGCACCTGGTTAGTTGTATCTTGTTATCATTCAGTAGCATTTCTTATGCTTGGAATGGTCTTTTAATAGAGTTTTCGTTTTGCCTTAGAAAAAAACATTAATAGGATTACCTCTTAGAAAGCGATTCTTGTCCCTATTGTTATAATTACGTTGATAATTAATACTTAATAGACCCAAATACATATAGAGCTGACACTGAGATCCTCAAGTTGAATAACTCTTATGACTAACTGAAATGGCATGTCAAAAGTATCTAATATTCTATCAGTGCGCGAGTAATGCTGCTGTGATGGTTTTGTAGTTTGATCTAAACTTCAATTTGCAGATGCGAGCATGAAAAATGTGTAAGGGCCGATCTATGCATCATGGAGGTTGTCGGAGAAAATAATTCCGAGCACTTCTTTGTTGCTAGTCAAGATACTGACCTACGGAAGAAGTTGCAAGAGGTTGGAATATTCTTTGCAATGTTAATTGGGACAATTAGATTTGTTATTGTCTCTTTGTAAACATGATAAAATGTTATTTGCATAAATGGTCTTTTCTGTGCCAGTGACGTTGTCTAAAATATGTTGACTTGGGTAGAATTGTATCATTGTACGTATGTTTAGTCTTCTTTACCTGCTCGTTGCAGATACCTGGTGTTCCTCTCATATTTGGTCTCAGAAATGCTCTTTTCCTTGAATCTCCATCGGCATTTCAGAAGGAATATGTCAAAACTTTGGAAGAAAGACGAATGCATATGACCAACATAGAATACCAGATATTTAGAGATAGGGCAAAGAAGAAATTAGCTGGTGGGGAAGACAATAATTCCAATACTGAAATAACGGAAAACAAGGATGCAGGAGATCCAATTGCGAGTGCACAGGCAATAAAAAGAAGTTTTACTTCAAGGAATCAGATTGGCATCAAGGATAAACCTCAGTTCAAGAGAAAAAGAGCAAAGGTTGTACTTTATTTTTTCTGTAGCTTTTTTCTTGTTTGATTTTGTTTTCTTCGTATTTAACAGTTATTGTTTTGCGTCACTCCTTAATGATATCTTACTGTGAATTTTGCAGGCTCCAAACCCGCTTTCGTGCAAGAAGAAGAAAAGTCGTGAAAATCAAAACAATTCTTCGAAGGTAGGATGGGTGGCAAAATTTAAATGTTTCTTCAATTTAAACTTGAAAACTCTTGGATGTATCTTTGGATTTGATTTTAATTCATTTTCTGAGTAAAGCTTAATTTTTATATACCAAAGTATTAAATTGTTTTACTTTTAAAACTACGTAGTTGCTTGGTTTAGTATGTTTAGAATACCTCAGCTATTGTATAGTACATATCCAATGGTTTTTATCTGCTGGAGGTTATATTTTGCATCTGTTAAATGTTCATTGATTCCTATGTAGGAAAAGAAAGGAGACAGCTCAGTGAAGAGAAGCAGGAAAAGGAACAGGTCGCGGAAAGGGCAAACGCCAGCAGAAACCGGTAGTTAGGTAGATCATTTAGATATATATGGATGAGCTCCACAAGTTTTGCTTCTTCAGATGATTTTAGGGAGAGTGGCAAATTTTAATTTATGTTGGCATGGCACAGAAAAGTCATTAGTTGGATTTTTAAAATTTATATGGATGTTTCTGTTTTGTCCCCATCTCCTTTCAAAGTGAACTAACTGTTTAAGATTTTGTTGTCATGTCTACCCTCATTTTTGTTTCATTAATTTTTAGTTTATTTATTTAATTAATACATAAAAATATATCAAATTAATATAATAAATTTAGTTTAATCTATAAATAAATACAAATCATTTTTGTTTCAATTGATTAAACTAAATTTATTATATTTCTTTTGATATGTAATAATTTTCAACATATTAATATAAACTTTTTTTTTTGCTTATTATAAAACTTGAAAATTGTAAACCTATATCGGCAAAACGTGAAAAATAATTTAGTTTAATCTACAATACTTTTATGAGAATATGTTGAACAAAAACTATATTTATTAATAGAAACATGGAAATTAATAGATTTGTTTGCCTCTATTTTAATACGCGTAATTATATATATCTTTTAATTGTATATTATTCTTTTTAATATATTTCAGTTAAATAATTTATATAAACAAGATTAAAAGAAGTTATAGTGCAATTGTTCCTAATATAGTGGGTTTATCAATTAAATGATTTAGATAATATCATAAATTTAATAGTTTAAATAAGAGATTGTTGACCGAAAGATTTTGACTGGAAAAAGTTGACATAAAAGCTAACATGTGGGTCGATAGGTTAGAAAGATGGTGAAGGAAACAGCGTAAGTTGATGCCAGTAGAAGGGGTGTTATGAGTCGACGAAAATCGACACGAAGTATAAGGTCAAGAAAACCGACACGAAGTATGAGAACCTTTGAGCGGGAGGAAATTTGAAAGCTGAGAACGTGAGGAAGTTACAAAGATGGTGGAGGGGCACGTGATGCCACCAAGACCAACATGAAGAAAACAATTATTTTCTTTTCCTATTTAAAGCAATGCCCATTTTCATTTTAGGGGGCGCATTTTGTAATATTGTGAACAAAATACGCTATGAGTACCAAACGTTAAAGGAAAAGAGTCCAATCCTACAAAATATATGATAGCGTCCACATTTCTTTTTAAAAACAATTTACATTACCAAACTTTAAGATATCTTGCATTTTTACTTGTTTATTTTGTTTGCTTGTTCCTTCAATTAGTGTTATTCAAGTTTGTTTCCAATTTATTCTAAACAAAACCATTCTACCAACGTTGTATAGACTCGACCAAACCGTTTTGGTACTTGTTTGGCCCGCCCCGCAAGCAAACCTGCGTTAGGAGGTTAGACTTTTCGCGCGAAAAATGCGTGCGAACAAATTGGCACACCCGACGTGACCCGTTGGTTGGGGTGTATGCACTTACGTAATGGTAAGATGGTGATACCATGTAACACCCCACTTTACCCCGTACGCGTAATATAATAAATATATAGAAACAATTCATGAAATTCATCAGAGTTCTCCAACACAGTGGGATATCACACTAAGTCACTTCATTTCATTAAAATAATCAATATTATTTAGTTTTCAAGTAAGCAGCGGAATACAAATCAATTCTCCAATATAATTCTCCTCGACACGAGGTCATACAACATAAGTCCAATAAATGAAGATACGTAACAATAAATAAATAAAGTAGTCAAATAACAACGTAATCCTGTCATCCCATGTTACGTATCAGAGCGACTCCTAAGACTCGATCAAATACCAACACACTCCAAGCACTACTCAGGTACCTGATCACCTGTACTCCCAAGAGAGCACAAACACAACAACAAAAAGGGGTGGGAACTACATTCAATAAATAAACGGTGAAATACACATGCTAAGGAGTAGTTACACAGCACACATACAATCATACATAATTAACGCACATACACGTGACACCTCAATCATTCGACACTAATAGCTCACATTCAATTACAATAATGCAATGCGACTCACTGACTCGACACAATGCATGTGGTACCAACACAATCTCATACTGTTCACACTAGAACCCGATTCCCGTCGGAATCCGGATAAGTCGTATATACGTTCCTCTGAACTACAACTTATCTCCACAACGACTCCCACATTGAAGTCCGGATGAAACTAGGCACCCATCATGGATTCCCACCTAACCATCTCCACAAGACACATGATATGAAATGCATGTTAACACAATTATGCAATGTAATACATCATGCATAATTCAAAATCAATCTTGATCCACACGAGCCATCCGCTCACCGTAATCCTCTCGGGAATTACCACAATCGCACAAGATTGTCCACATTCGACCATCTTGGCCCACATCTATCAAAACACTAAGACATCATTGAACCAGAATATGATTCGTTACTAAAACATATACACAATTGACTTCTCAAACATAATTAGATATAAAAATATTGGGAAAACAATTCCATTATCTATCCTATGTTATAGCTCTGTTCATTAGCTTTCCAACGCTTCGAGCGGGGATCAAAACGGACTTACGGATCCAAAGTTACGTCCAAAACAATTTCGACCGAAAACATGAACATCCGTGACAGACAGAAAGACGCTGTTACACTCCGGAACTGATATTCACCCAATTATTCTTGCGAATCACTTACTCAAAGCACCTAAAACATCACTAAAAGATTCCTAAGGTTATATGGCAATAACGACACAACTTCTATGGTTTATTATGCTCATCTGGCAACATCTGCAACACATAAAACACTATTTTCTGCAATTGCTCTGAGTACTTCCGAGTTACCCACATTTGAATATTCCTATTCCTATAGGGACAACATATTACAATGTTTCCTTCAATTACACCCTACGACATTAAAATTACTCACTATCTAATATTTAACCCCTTCAGGGTCAGACATATAACAATGTCAAGGTTCTGGTCACGAAGGTTCAATTTCCCATAAGTTTTTTCCTACAAGCACATATTAATATTCAACGATACATATCATTTGGCCATTTGGCCATAACCTCAGATTCTTACGGTTACCTCCCTATTTCCCACAATTAACCCAAATCCCTAAACCTTAGGAAAACCTTAGAGCATCGTACTAATAATGATATAGCACATTCATTTCTACATGTTTTCCCAAATCCCTAAAAGTTCAGATTTCCAGATCTACTACTCACTAGTATTCTATGACAGCATCGAATATTTCTCACACGAATTCCGTATTAATTCTGGTTTCGGATACACAAAACATCATACAAACAGTATTCAACAATAACAGAAAATTTGAGAACAAATCAAGTTACGAAAATTGGATTCAAGAATCCTTAAGAACACATAATTCCTATGAGAGAAAGGACCTCTCACTACCCTCTCATGTTAATTCACCCATATTGAAATCCATTCTCCCCCCTTACCTCGATTAATTGCTCAATCGTTGAAGAATCTTGAAGGATTGACAACCCTAGCCTCCTTCTCTTCCTCCTTGTTCTTCTTCTCACTTTTTCTCCCAAAACCTTTCTCTGCCAGTTTATCGTGTTCTAATTCTCTTTCCCCAAAAAAACTTCTCTATTTCCTTTAATCCCTTATTTCTTATTTTATTATTTAAATCCTATAATAATAATAATAATAATAATAATAATAATAATAATAATAATAATAATACTAATATTATTCTCCCAATAATAATAATATTCATACTAATAGTAATAATATGAATAATAATAATATTCCACCAAATAATATTATTAATACGAATAATAATAATAATAATAATAATAATAATAATAATAATAATAATAATAATAATAATAATAATAATGATGATAATCTCATTAACATTATTATTAATAATAGTTGGAATAATATTAATCACTATAATGCTCTCGATATCATAATTAACTTACTCCTTTATCTAGGTCCACAGTACCCCAACTAAGGTCACCTCTCTCCCTTACTCCTAACCTCATACCCTTAATTAAGGACACCACACAACTACACCTCACAGAAAATACCAAAGCGACTGAATAATTTAAATGGGGTGTTACATACCACGTCCAAATGAAGAACCTTCTTCAGAGGCTTTTCTTATCTTGTTTTAGCAACAACTCCAATAAGTTAAGATTCTTATTGAAAACTTTTTATGTGATGTGAACAAGCTGGCCAGAAAGTTAATCTTCAAAAGTATAAAATCTTTGTTGGCCCAAAGACTCCTAGATCCTTGGTGAGATAAATTCAAGAAGAGAGTGGCATCCACATCACTGATAACCGAGGAAAGTCTCTAGGTATCCCTTTGTTCCACTCAAAAGTTAGCAAGAGTACCTTCAACTACATCATAGTTGTGACGCAAACAACCAAGATTGGCACTGGCAACGTGTCTGTAGTTTCGACTGCACATAGTGGGCCTGTCGTGACGCCACGTCGACCTAAACCTAGGCCTATGATGACAGGGACTCGGGGGAAGTATGTGCCTAGTTTCACAATGCCCACGCCTCGAGCCTTTGGGATGTCGATAGAGTTCGTGTTAAGCTTACATCATAGTGGGCCACTCTTTGGAGAAAGTTCATCATCAGCTTTCTCACCGTATCAAGGATTATGACTTTTGACGAACTAGGTTACCAGGCCCCTAGAGTTTAGTCTTCTGTCACATTCAATTCCAACTTTTACCTCAAGTTTCGTCGCCGTTATGAGACAGCAAATGGATGAAAGTAATCATGAAATGGTTCACATGTTGACCTAACAAATGAGCACCATATTAGGACCATCACTACAAGATTCGACCCAGAGTTACCAATAATTGGCGACTCAGATGACACAAATAGGTGATTTCTGAGGCGCTCATAGGGCCCCGGGTCGACAGACGCCTCCACCTCGACCGAAGACGCCAATTCGACAAGACAAAGTGTTTGACGAAACAATTGACCAGTAACTCCACGAGGTTGAACACACACCTAGGATGGCCTAAACTATGTGGTCA